GGGCAATTTTTACTTATGCAAATGAGCTCAGTTCAAATACTTGACACCAAAACTACATATGAATATTTCACTCATCTGTAAGCAAGATACTGTGATGGAAAGTCACTGAAATTCACTGAAAAAGAATTTATTTGTGACATCAATGTGCAGTGAAAACATACTGGGAATATAGAAAGGTTTAAATGGAATAAGTCTTTGGTTGTACCCACAGATCAGTGCTGGAATTATGGGTAGTTACATTAGACCTGAGCTGAACTGAAAACAGCAAAAGTTTCAGAGTGTGCCTGTGTGATCACCAATGCCACATTTACGTAGAGATGGCAGAGTACTGCTTCTATTCATGTCCTGTACTAAACTTTATAACGAGTCTGTCCTTCTGTAAAAAACAAGCCCACAGGTCATCTGTGCAGCAGTTGATTTTGATCATGGACTGTAAATAAAGATGGACAGAGCCTCCGTCACACTACCCACAGGTTTCTGAAGAGAAGTTTTAAAGCTCAGAGTGAGCTGCTCCACTGTTGCGATCTTGGCAGTGTGTGACTCCGCCCCTAACTTCCACCTAATCCAAAAATGGTCAAAGAAGTGGAGCGTGTGTGGATGAAGGAGGAAATTATCTCTAGAGACCAAAACAGTTTTTGTATCAGGCTGTAAACATGTTTATTTCTGCTGTAAAGTTGGACATTTTAACATGGGAGTCTATGGAGACTGACTCACTGTTGGAGCCAGACTCTAGTGGCCATTAGAGGAACTGCAGATTTGGTTCTTCAGTGTTGGCTTCATTTTTCAGCCTCGGAGTTTGCCACTTGATTATGACCCATAGTTACGTTTTATTGTTAGGCGACATCTATTGTTTGGATTAATTTTACTGTTTCACCAGACTTCCTCCTTTGCTCATGTCATAAAGAGAGACAAAGTCCACAATGGATGAACAAAACACATTATCCCCCAACCAATCGACAAAGTTCACGTTGTCATCATTGTAACCATGACAACTAAAATTGTCTAATTTAATCTAATCTAATATTTTAACCCAAATCACGATCTTATCCTTAACCTAACAAAGCCATGACCATTATTATGGTAACCATGGTGACAAAGAACCTGTGAACCTGCCACTGTAGCGGCAGTATTTCAGGAGAGACTCTTATGGGTTGTATCAGTGGGTTGAGTATATATTTATGTTTCAAGGCATGAAGCAAATTTAACATGCACTCTCCATAATGCTCACTAATTAACATGTTAATTAACATGATTTTACATTGCTAACCTCAGCTAACTGGTCGCAGGCTCCAGCTTCATGTGGTATTGGTAAGAAAGTGATGAAATACTCCTTTGATAAAGTTGGTAACATATTAATGCATTCATATACAACTTAAGATGAAACCATGTGCCATGTTTTGAATGAAATGAAAGGAGAGGGAGGAGATAAAAGGACTGTGTGCTTGTAATCACAGTAAAGAGGATAAGACTCTCTGACATACAGTGTGTGTATGCCAATAAGCTACACTATATGTCCATATATGTGCTTGGAATTTAAATCACCCTAGTAAGCAGAACATGACAGGAAACCTCAGGGTCTATAACCACAGTCACAGTCAGTTACTGTATAAGACCACAGGCTTTAGAAAGCATCATGCAGCTTTGTGCTCATGCTGAGAACATGTAACGTTTGCTGATCACTTAACAGTGAAAACTGTGTACATTCAAAGCAAGTGCAAGGTTATCCTGAAGTTAAATATTCATTATTAACAATGTGACTTGATGTGTTGTGTAAGATCAGTCAACATAACTCGTGCTGCCTCTCTTCTTATTTCTTATTATAAGTTATGCAACATGAATTATGTAATTTATGATGCTGTGTCATTTATTTATTTCACTCAGCTTTCTGTGACGAGTCATTGCGTACATTTTCCATGTTCCTTATACAGCATTACATTTGTGGTGACAACTGATTGCGTAAAAACGTAATGTCTTTTCGTGTTTTGGTTTCTTCCTGCAAACAGTCAGTAATTCAGGGTCTTTCTTTTTAGAGTGAATGCTACTCTGAGACTCACTCTGAGACTCTATGTGAGCAGAAGTCAAAAAGGCTGTCACCCTGGATGAAAGGCCTTTGCTTCTTCTTGTCTGTTTGTTTTTTTCTGTTTCTTGTTTTAAATCACATCTGAAATAGATTAGGTTGATAGATAGGTTGCATTTTTCACCCTTTTCACCTTGACTTTGACTGAATTACTAAAATCTATTTTAAAAGGAATGAGCTAACAATCTGGAAACATGTTTGTTTGCTGTGTGAAAGATCAAAATCAGATTCATCTCAGCCTGGTTCAGAGACTGGGCCTGGATGTGTTCAGTCTGACTGTGGCAGATGTGGCTGTGATCACAGCAGGGCAGAGATTTTTTGATGTTTTTAAGACAGTAGAGATTACATTTAAGAAGTTGGGAAAATGTCATTAGATTGAAGTGTTGGTGTACTTTGCACACTGCCAAGCTAGTAACTGTGAATTTTAAATTATTTTTTAAAGGTCTATATGTTACACCTTTCTGTTGTTTTATTTAAAATGTTGATCCATAAAAAGATATATTTGTGGTTTTAAGAACCTCTCAGAATCTCTCAGGCTTCTCTCTGGAGTGCTAGTAGCAACAGGTTGGTGAGCCAATCAGAGGAGAGGAGGCTCTGAGCCTCTCCTCTGATTGGCTGACTGTTTTCTGAGCGACTAATAAAAATATAGCAGATTTCAGGTAAAACACTCATAGAAACCAAATCCTGCAAGGTTGGATGGTGGGTCCAGGTGGGCGTGGCTTGGGGCACTGTGGTGACTACTTTGTTGCGACATCCCTAGAAGTCCTGACGGCTGGTTTTAAGGCTCAGTTTCTGAATACAGGCTGTGTGCATTTCTCTGTGGACTGAGGCTTTGATACTTTCACAGTATCAATATAGAACTTAGACCTGATCTAAAATCAAACAATACATGGACAGAGACCTTCAGACTGGATGGAGCTTTAAATTGTGAAGGGTACAACAGAAAGTAAAGAAAATAAAAGCACGGTTACTTAAAAACATCTGAACCAGCATCATTTCATTAAGACTAATTAGGCACCATAATGGTGTTTTTACCCTCAATTCTTCATCATACCAGAACTGAGAATGCAGCTGACTGATAACAACAGGGAGTCACTTCAGATGTGCAGACAGATGATCAGTTATTTTTGTGTCACATCAGCAACAAAGTGGATCTGACTGAGCGAGAGCTTTGTAAAACTGAATGGGACAGTACTTTATGCAAAGCATAATGCAAACCCTGCTTGAATACAATCTGGATGAGCTTTAAAGTGACCTGTGTTTAATTAATGTACTGGGTTTGTGTCAGGTCACAGGACTTGATGGGTTAATATAAGTCCACACTGATATTGGTCCTCTCATTTGTTTTTGTACTAGATGAATATATTTCCTAAAATGTGAAGGTTAGGGTTAGCTATCTGTCGTTGTGGATCAGCAGATATAAGGTTGCCAGTCACTCAGTGACCCAAAAATAAATGAACTATCATGGCTGATGGGAAACAATGAGCAGCCAGAGGAAGGTGTTAAGGCTGAGCCACAGTTAAATGGAATAAATTAACACAGTGAGAGGGGACTGGAGGGAAAATGACTCGTTCAACTCAGCTGCTGCTGTGTAGGCTCTGTTCAGCTTTTCAGCCCACAGCCTCACCTGTGAGTTGTGTGTCTGGATGTTGTTAGGTGTCGGACTGGAGAGGGGTTACAGGCCAGTTTAACAATCGCACACATGCACTAATTTCCCACTCAACTGTAGCTATGGCAGCATGTTGAAGAGGGTGTGTAGGAGGCATGTGGTCTGTGTGTCTGTCTGTTGTGTTTTCTCCTCTTTGCCTTTTTTCCCATGCCGTCCTTCCTCCTCCTCCTCCTCCTCCTCCTCCTCTTCTGCATTTCCGCTGCCAGCCCTATAGATCTGCTCACAGCAAACCTGTCCCACTGCTGCGCTCAAGGACGTACTGCAGGAGCACACAGCACGCTGCGCCAGGACAACCCACGCACACACACACATGCGCGGTACATGTATGTGAGTGCAGTTGTGTGTGTGTGTGTGTGCGCGCGCGTACATCTAGGTGATGCACCTCTCTCGTAGTCGACCATATGGAGGTGTGCCTGAAGGAAGGGAGGGGACAAACCCTGCTAGGACAGTTGACACAGCACAGATGCTAGGCCACACACCCACACTTGGAAGTACACAGAGAAAACACGTGCGCTCGCACACGTACACACACAAACGACCACAATGTGTGGTGTTGTTTGAGTGGTAATGAGGCAGGAGTGGGAGGACGGCTGGTGTTCCTCCCACTGCCTTATGCTAGGGGAGTTACCAGGCTCGCCAGTGAAATGACAGAGAGTTAGCCCAGACCACACACACAATTACACACACACATACAAATACACATAGAGAAGACAATCAGTTTCCTCTGGGCATATGAGCAACACTGAATATCCCTCATTTATTAACATTAAGAAAATGTCACCATTCGGGAGTAATGTGAGAATATTGGACCAGTTTAGTGGGAGAAGAAACTTTAATGATGCCATATAAATCAGTGGGTAGAAACAGAGATACCACTGGATGCAGAGAGCCACAGTAATGTAGTACAACATGTGCCACTAGCAATAATTTTGTAAAAATAAAAAATTAACCCTGACGTACATGTTCCTTCCTCTCAACATTTCATATGCTTCAGCTTTGAGTTCCTTTAATTCAGCATTTAGATATTATCTCCATGATCATGTAATTAAATAAGCACTTTGAAGAGGCTAGAGGCTGACTTGAGAGTTGCTCATTGTGTGGTGGCTTGTGGCATCGGTGTATGGTTTGAAGAGTTGCAGCTTTAAAAAATATGATCTAAAATAGTTTGACAAGTACAACTGTGAATAAATGAGGTGTGCTTTGTTGCAGTTTTGCCCCATTTAGCCCCAAGCGTAATGTCAGAGTCAGCCGTACCTTTGGAAGCCTCTGTGCCATACGGCCCGCCGGCGCTGTCGGTCAGGTCCGGCAGCCAGGCGTCCTTGACCGCTGACTTGAAGACGTGGCGATTATCCAAGCTCTGAATGGGCCTGAAGTTGCTGCGCAGATACTCCACTGACTTAACATGGTCCTGCTGCTCCGTGGTGAAGATGGAGTAGAAAGCCTCCAACTGGTGGCAGCGGGGAGAGCAGAGACACGGAGACGGAGAGGGGAAAGACAGAATGAGTAAGTGGCAGGCAGAGCTCACATCCTGTGGTAACTTTTGAATTGGAGAGTTGAGACCTCAAAACACACAGTATCAGAATGCACCGCAGACATCTAACTGAAATACAAGTTGAGAGAAGATGAAATTTTAATGATCCCCATGAGGAAACTGGGTCACTGCTGCAGCACAACAAAGGCTTCACATGAAATCATGGAGGGGACGGGGAACACTGGTAATACATGACTAATAATTTCAAAATATGAGGAATTCATTAAGTCAACAGTGTATCCATGCATCAGTGAAATATATGTACAATTACTGAAATATCACATTTTCAATCGTAAAGACATTAAAACTGATCCAACTTCTCCAGCAGCAGAGATCATTTCAAATCCTCATGTGGTTCAGTAGTTTGTTTTTTTTTTTGAGGGACTAATTTGACACCAATAGAAATATGCTTGAATGAAAGGATTGATACCGATCTTATGTCTGTAGGTTGAATATGTAGCCAAGACATGATTAGCTTAGCTTAGCTTAGCATGGAGAAAGGGGAGAAAGAGCTGGGCTGCTCTCTCCAAACTTATCTGCAAATTCATGTAAAAATGATTTACATGTGTGGTTTTAGAGGGAGTTAGGAAGTGTAATTATGTCTTGCACATACTCCAGGAAGTCATTACTAAATATAAACTCTACAATCTATCACGTCGACTTAAGCAACATGTGACATAAAGTAAATGAGATCGTAAAGGCAGAACAAAAACAAAGAAGCTTAAAGAGGAAATAGGCAAACTAAAGTTAAAAAGCAGGTTCATCACGGTGCCAACGCTGGTACCTCTACCACAGCCAGAATCCATGGACATAAAAGTCTAAATATGTGACTGCATGAGTTTTGCATGTTGAAATAATTCAGAAAATTCTAATAAGCAGCTACAAAAAGCCACATATCCAGGCTTTCAGCCAGACTAATGAATCAGTGGAAAGACGAAAAGTCAACTCCCTGAATCAGACGTGAGGGAGAGGTGGGCCTGCCGGTTTCGATCCATCAACCCACAACCCAGCTCTCATCCCCGGACGTGTCGGGGGGGATTACTTCAAAAACATGAACTTTCAGCAAGTGAGCATCCTTGTGGCCTGCATCTCTGAAGTGCTGTACCAGGGGATACTTGTAGTTTTTGGAGTTGTGATTGCATATTCATGCTCCTCCAGTCGGTCTCTCAGCCTGTGTTTTGTGTGGCCAGTGTAAAGCAGCCACAGACACTCTCCAAACAGCACTACAAATGTAGAGCTGGATTTGGCCAAGTCCTTGAAATAAGCAGTGCTTTGATGAACACATTGAAATAGAGTACTGTTGTCACTTTATTTGCATAAACTGTATCCGAACCAGCTCTTGCCACTGTAGCCAAAAAAGACCTGTCCCATCAGCAGTCTCGAGCTGGTGAATCCAGTCAAACTCATGCCAGACACATGATGAATTATTGAAAGTCTGAGTCTGAGGGCCAACTGTGGCCCAAACCTACCTACCTCTGCTAAAACGGGCCGGTTCCCAGATGCAGTTGGCCCAAATCTGCAACTCCCCCCAAAACCAGGCCAGATGTAGCAGCCGTGCATGTGGCCAAATCCAGCTCACATCTGGTTCTCTAACCCAAACACTCACAGCTCTCAGTCAGAGCCTGATTGGACTGGGGTGAATACTTACATTGGGTTTGGGGAAACCAGGAAGTGCGCCTGGAAGAAGGTGGCTCCAAGACATTCATATACTGTAGTTCATGTTATTGGTGGTAAATTAGTATCTGATGCAGTGAAACTGTCCCCAAAGTGGTTTTAATCTGAATTTAGCCGCTACGCTATCAAGCTGTGAACATTTTGTACTGCTTTAGTTTGATGTTGAAGTTGGCCTCTTCCTGCATGTTGCCATTTGTCAAACGCGTGCTGTGTGGCAAGACGGGCGACCAGACATGGATTTGCACTGTGTGAATGAAGTGTCATCTTTCTGCTTGTGCTGGCAGATGGATACTCCGTACAATGTGTTTGGAAGCAATGCACTCAGACAAACAGCTTGTGAGCAAGGGAGTGCTGCGAGGGAGAGGGGCTGCTGAGAGGCAGATTTCCATTTATAAAGGTAAATGTCTCAGTAAGGAAGCAAATTCTTCCCGTGACTCTCTTTGTGCTGTATGATTATCACATGCTCGAAAATCAGGAGCCTGACCATGAATTATGAAGTGACTGACCTTGATTTATTATTGTGAGTAGGGCTTAGAGGTTTCCTGCAGAGTTTCTGACCTCTAGTTGTGCTATGGAGCAGTTTTTTTTTATTTTTTATTAGTGAGTCCCCATTTTATAAGAAGTGACTTTGTGTCCAACCTACTGAAACCATTCCTGTGGCAAAAGCTCCACAAGTTCAGCAAAGTATGGAAGCCCCTATTATTCCGATCCATTAGGTGGCGGCCAGAACATATTCAAAGGCTAATTTAAGAAATTGACTAATAAAAATTCAGTAGGAATTTACTTTGTTACTGTTCACATGTGGAGCTCTGATCCACAGTCTAACTGGTGTTATTTTTTTCACATCACACATCTTATTTCTGCTATTCAGAGGTTTGCCAAGCAAGCAACAGAACCATTGAAACTTCCTATCATAACCTTTCAGAATAAAAGCACACAAGCACATGAACTAAAGCATTGCTACAAAAAAATACGAAACAAAACAAACAAAACACTTTCTCACGCTTGAGTGATTGTGTTGGTAACTGTTGCCACCGTGATAGAAGGTCCAGGCACTGTGCATTGACTGATGCGTGACTATTTGTATCTTTCATTCATTATCAACATGGATAAGATAGGACCTAAATGTGGGACTGTCGGTCCGATATTGTAAGATTGAAAAAAAAAAAAATATATATATTATATAAATAGATTATCAAAATAATCTGGTGGGCCAGATATTGTTGCTGGCGGGCCAGTAATGGCCCATGGGCTGCAAGCTGCCCACCGCTGCTTTAGGAATTCAGGTGAGATAGTGTAAAGAGCGACACAGAGAACAAGCTGTGATGGATGAAGGGATCACACATAGGACTGGGGTATGACTCCTGTTACATTTATTGACTTGATCTTATACTTTTCAGATTTTTCTTTATTTTCATTTCAAACCGCTCGTCCACAAAGCCGTGAAGGCTTCTCCCATGTTCAGGAGCTGCATGCTCTGAGCTGCACACTCAGGCCCTGAGAGGCAGGTGAAAAAAAAAACTTGCTTTTGCAGATTTTAAAAAATGGGCGGGGGGGGGGTCATGTGTTTTCACAAGAAAAAGAATAAATTCACTTTTCAGCCTTTCAGCCTCTCAGGGCTTCCATAGATGGAAGGAAGGGGGAAAAAATTGAATTTGATGCTTTAAAGGTGTGTTCAGACTGACTGAGGCTGTTTACATAAATCAATAGAAAGACATGAGTGGATTTAAAGACAACTTATGAAACTAAAAATCTTCTCCATATCCACGGTTGGTGCACATATTGGTAACTGGCAACAGGTAACATCTGAGCAGTTGGTGAATTGGGTGTTTGTAGAGAACAAACACAGACTGCACATCCTGAGAGTCTCAGGGTGTCCAAACTGAGTGTGAATCTTTCACAGCAATCTGTCCTTCACATTTCAATATTTCCTGTGTATATACTGGTCGTTTTTGTCTTGTGGTCGCACTAGACAGAGTGTGTATACATTTATATTTATTCTGATTTGTCAGTGTTTGGGGAATATTCAGGCCAAATGTTAAGACAACGTGGACAGGTGTTAAAAACTTAAAAACATCCCCATCTTTAGGTCTCACTTTTAACAAGGGAAAAATAACAGCTGATGAGGAAGTCAGCTTTTTTCCTGAGCTGAATGTGATTGCAGCAAACAAAAATCCCAAGCCCCCCTGAGCTGCTGCAAAACAAATGTAAAACGCCCATAAAACATCAGCCTGCCAGCTTTGGTGACCAGCTTTAGAGGTGACTTTCTCAGATGATGAAAGTCAAATGTGAGCGTCAAAGCAAAGGATTAATAAAAAAAAAATAAAAAAACAAACAAACAAAAAAAAAAAGTCGGATTCCACTGTTTACCAAGCCGTAGTAAACCCTCAGGGTTTAGGCTGGACAAAAACTGAGAATGGAGGTAATGCTGCGTGATGAGAGAATAAACATCGATCTAGGCTCAGCTCTTTGACTTACTGCCTTTGTGTTGGTTTCTCTGCGCTTTGTTGTGAAATGCTGATTTATCTTTTTAGTTTAGCACATTTCCCTTCAGATCCCAGGTTACATTTCTCATCATGTCTTTGAAAAACTCAAGAAATGGGTAGGGGGGTTTGTTGTTTTTTTTCCTTTGACTGAAGCTGGAATCTGTCCATTCCAGTTCTGGTTCCTGGGCCTAAATTCTTGTGCAGCTAAAGCATGGACTTAGTAGTAATGTCAGTGTTTGTGATGCTCAGAAAAGCATATTCAAGTACTGTACAGTGAATATCAAGTGACCTGCAATTTCAGCTATGGCCACTAAGCATAGCATTTCTGTCTGCAGCCTGCAATATGTAGATACATCCAGTACAAGTTACGCACACTTCGTCTACGTCATGCCGCTGCACCTCCCTGTCAAGTGTGAAAGGGGTTTAAGCACGGCACAGCTATACTAACAATGCTAGCCATGCTAACTAGCTGCTAGCGGCTATGCAGGCCCACAGAATAAGTTTTAACAACACATGTACCAACTGAAGCTCCGCCACTGACAGGAGCTCCAACCTGCGGATGAGACACAATGGATCCGTTGTTACCAGTCTGCATGACGGTACTAGCTTACTCACCAATCAGACAAAGAGGCGCTCTCATCTACTGTAACATCTCGTTTTGACATCTCATGTGGTTCTGCTTAATCTGGACAACTTGAAGTAACACCTGCTCTCTTGCAGTCTGCAGACTGAGCCCTCTTGTTCCTGGGGGGCTTG